CCAAATTTCCCCCCAAAATCCCCAAATTTCCCCCAAAATCCCCAAATTTCCCCCAAAATTCCCCAAATTTCCCCCCAAAATCCCCAAATTTCCCCCAAATTCCTCTAAAATCCCCAAATTTCCCCCAAATTCCCCAAATTTCCCCCAAAATCCTCAAATTTCCCCTAAATTCCCCAAATTTCCCCCAAATCTTCCCCAAAAATCCCCAAATTTCCCCCAAATTCCCCAAATTCCCGCCCGAACTCCCCTCCCCCGCTCACCTCTCCTCCGTGGGCGTGTCCCGCCGAGGCCCCTCCCCCTCCTGCCGGGCGAAATTTGCATATTTTACCCGCGGGGGGGCGTGGCCTCCCCTTAGCCCCGCCCCTCCCTTAGCCCCGCCCCTCTCACCTGAGCCCCGCCCCCGGCAGGGGAGGGGGGGGCGGAGGAGGAAGAGGAGGAGGAAGGCGGGGGGGGCGAAAGCCCCGCCCCCTTCTCAAGCCCCGCCCCTTTCTCCTCCTCAAGCCCCGCCCCTTTCTCCTCAAGCCCCGCCCCCTGCGGCAAAGGGGCGGGGCTGCCCTCAGCGGGGGGCGTGGCTTGCCCAGCGGGGGGCGTGGCTTGCCCCGCGGGGGGCGTGGCTTGTGCCTCGGGGGGCGTGGCTTGCCCCTCAGGGGGCGTGGTTTGCCCCGCGGGGGGCGTGGCCTGGCGCGGCCCCGCCCCCTCCTCCTCGGGCAGGGTTTTTGGGGCGAATTCCGGCGGTTTTGGGGTTTCTTCCTCCTCCTCCTCGTCCTCCTCCTCCTCATCCTCGTCCTCGTCTTCCTCCTCCTCCTCCGGGGCGGGGGAGGGGCGGCGGCGGCGGGGGGCGGGGCCTGAGGGGGGCGGGGCCGGGCGGGTCTGGCGGGAAACGGAGACAAAATGGCGGCGGGGGGTTAAAATGGGGGTTTGGGGGGAAAAATGGGGGATTTGGGAAAATGGGGATTTGGGGAGTTTTGGGGGAAAAATGGGGGATTTGGGAAAATGGGGATTTGGGGGAAAATGGGGAAAATGGGGAATGGGGAATTTGGGAAAATTGGGGGATTTGGGAAAATGGGGAATTTGGGAGAAAAAATGGGGAGTTTTGGGGGAAAATGAGGAATTTTGGGGGAAAATAGGGGATTTGGCGGAAAAATGGGGAATTTGGGAAAATGGGGAATTTTGGGGGAAAATGGGGAATTTGGGGGAAAAAATGGCGAATTTTGGGGAAAAATGGCGAATTTTGGGGAAATGGGGAATTTGGGGAAATGGGGGATTTTGGGGGAAAATGGCGGATTGGGGAAAATGGGGGATTTGGGGGGAAAAATGGAGAAATTGGGAAAATGGGGGATTTGGGGGAAATGGGGAATTTCGGGGGAAATGGGGAATTTTGGGAGAAAATGGGGGGTTTGGGGGAAAAATGGAAATTTTGGGGGAAAAAATGGGGGAATTTGAGTAGAAAAATGGGGAAATTTCAGTAAAAAATGGTGAAATTTCAGTTAAAAATGGGGAAATTTCGGGGAAAATGGGGAGATTCCAGAAAAAATGGGGAAATTCCAGGAAAAATGGGGAAATTCCAGGAAAAATGGGGAAATTTGAGGAAAAAAATGGGGAAATTTTAACCAAAAATGGGGAAATTTCAGTAAAAATGGGGAGATTTGAGGAAAAAATGGGGAAATTTCAGTAGAAAATGGGGAAATTTATATCAAAAATGGGGGAATTTCAGTAAAAATGGGGAAATTTTGGGAAAAATGGGGATATTCTGGGGAAAATGGGGAGATTTGAGAAAAAATGGGGAAATTTTAACCAAAAATGGGAAAATTTCAAAAAAAAAGGGGAAATTGCAGGAAAAATGGGGGAATTCTGGGAAAAATGGGGGGATTTTCACCCAAAAATGGGAAAATTTCATCCAAAATGGGAAAACTACAGAAAAATTACGAAAATTTAACCCAAAAAAAAGCATATATAAAAAAAATCATAAAATTTGCCCCAAAAAACCAAAATCAATGAAAAGTCAGTGAAAAATCCCAGAAATTCCTCCCAAAATTGAAACAAAAACCCCAAAATTCCCCCCAATAAATCCCAAAATTGTATCAAAACCACCAAAATTCACCCAAAAAATCCCAAAAAAGGCAGAATGTGCCTCAGTTTCCCTCACACCAGAAAAATCACCAAAAAAATCCAAGAAAAATCCCCAAAATCCCAGAAATTCTTCCCAAAACGAACCCCAAAAAATCCAACGTTTAAAAAAAAAAAAAAACAAAGTAACTCAAAAAACCCAAATTTAACCCCAAAAAAACCGCAAAAAATCAGCGAAAAATCCCAGAAATTCCTCCCAAAATTGAAACAAAACCCCCAAAATTCACCCCCCCCAAAAAATAAAAAATCTCAAAATTAAAGGAAAAAAAACAAAACAAACTTAACCCCAAAAACCCCAAAAAACATACCGAAAAATGGAGGAATCTGCCCCCAAAAAAAAAAAAAAAAAAAATCAAAGAAAAATCCCCAAAATCCCAGAAATTCTACCCAAAATTTAAAAAAAAAGCCCAAAATTAACCGAAAAAGCCCAAAATTGACCCAAAAAGTCGGCGTGTGCCTCAGTTTCCCTCACCAGCTTGCGGCGCTCCTTCCTCCCCCCTCCTTCCTCCTCCTCCTCCTCCTCCTCCGGCTCCGAGGCTGCAAAAAAACCCAAAATTTGGGAAAATTTGGGAATTTTGGGGGGGGAAATGTCGGGGGGAATTTGAGGAATTTTGGGGTGAATTTTGGGGATTTTTGGTTGGAATTTTGGGGTGAATTTTGAGTTTTTGGGGAGAATTTTAGAGGAATTTTTGGGGTTTTGTATTAAATTTGGGGTAATTTTTGGGTGGGATCCAGAGTTTTGGGGTGAATTCTAGAGGTTTTGGGTGAATTTTGATTTTGGGTAGAATTTGTGGGTTTTGGGAGTAAATTTGGGGTGAATTTGGGGGTTTTGGGGTGAATTTGGGATGAATTTGGGATAAATTTGGGGTGAATTTTGGGGTATTTTTGGTGGATTTTGGGATGAATTTGGGATAAATTTGGGATAAATTTGGGGTGAATTTTGGGTAAATTTTGGTGGATTTTGGGATGAATTTGGGATAAATTTGGGGTGGATTTTGGGTAAATTTTAGTGGATTTCGGGGTGGAATTTGGGATAAATTTGGGGTGAATTTTGGATAAACTTGGGGTGAATTTTGGGTGTAATTTTGGGTAAATTTGGGGTAAATTTTGTGTAAATTTCGGGTGAATTCTGGCTGGAATTTGGGATAAATTTGGGGTGAATTTTTGGTAGAATTTTGTGTAAATTTGGGGTGAATTTTGTCTGGAATTTGGGATAAATTTGGGGTGAATTTTGGGTGGATTTGGGATAAATTTAGGGTGAATTTTGGGTAAAATTTGGAATAAATGTGGAGTGAATTTTGTCTGGAATTTGGGGTAAATTTGGGATAAATTTGGGGTGAATTTTGGGTAAATATGGGGTGAATTTTGGGTAAATTTGGGGTGAATTTTGGGGTGAATTTTGGGTAAATATGGGGGGAATTTGGGGTGGAATTTGGGATAAATTTGGGGTGAATTTTGGCTGGAATTTTGGGTAAATTTGGGGTGAATTTTGGGATAAATTTTGAGTGAATTTGGGGTGAATTTTGGCTGGAATTTGGGATATATTTGGGATAAATTTGGGATAAATTTTAAGTGAAATTTTGGGTGAATTTGGGGTGAATTTGGGATAAATTTGGGAAAATTTGGAGTGAATTTTGGGATAAATTTGGGATAAATTTACGGTGAATTTTGGGTGAATTTTGGCTGGAATTTGGGGTGAATTTTGGGATAAATTTTGGGTGAATTTGGGGTGAATTTTGGCTGGAATTTGGGATAAATATGTGGTGGATTTGGGATAAATTTGGATTGAATTTTTGGTGGAATTTGGTGTAAATTCGGGGTGAATTATGTCTAGAATTTGGGATACATTTGGGGTGAATTTTGGGTAAACTTGGGATAAATTTGGAGTGAATTTTGGATAAATTTGGGGTGAATTTTGGGATAAATTTGGGATAAATTTATGGTGAATTTTGGCTGGAATTTTGGGTAAATTTGGGGTGAATTTTGGGATAAATTTTGGGTGAATTTTGGCTGGAATTTGGGGTAAATATACGGTGGATTTGGGATAAATTTGGGTTGAATTTTGTGTGGAATTTGGGATAAATTTGGAGTGAATTTTGGGATAAATTTTGGGTGAATTTGGGGTGAATTTTGGCTGGAATTTGGGATAAACATGTGGTGGATTTGGGATAAATTTGGGTTGAAATTTGTGTGGAATTTGGGATAAATTTGGAGTGAATTTTGGGATAAATTTGGGGTGAATTTGGGATAAATTTTGGATAAATTTGGGGTGAATTTGGGGTGAATTTGGGATAAATTTTGGATAAATTTGGGGTGAATTGTGGCTGGAATTTGGGATAAATTTGGAGTGAATTTTGGGATAAATTTGGGGTGAATTTGGGATAAATTTTGATAAATTTGGGGTGAATTTGGGATAAATTTGGGGTGAATTTGGGATAAATTTGGAGTGAATTTTGGGATAAATTTGGGGTGAATTTGGGGTGAATTTTGGATAAATTTGGGGTGAATTTGGGGTGAATTTGGGGTGAATTTTGGATAAATTTGGGGTGAATTTTGTGTGGAATTTTGGATAAATTTGGAGTGAATTTTGGGATAAATTTGGGGTGAATTTGGGGTGAATTTTGGATAAATTTGGGATAAATTTGGGATAAATTTGGGGTGAATTTAGGAAAAATTTTGGGATAAATTTGGGATAAATTTGGGATAAATTTTGATAAATTTGGGGTGAATTTGGGGTGAATTTGGGCTTTTTCTCACCGTGGGGCTCGGGGGCGTCGCGCCGCTGCTGCAGCAGCTCCTGCTGCTTCTCCAGGTACTGCTTGATGAAGCTGTTCTGCCCCATGGCCTCGCCCATCTGCCAAAAAAAACCAAAATTCCCAAAAATTTGGGAACGATTTCGGATTTTGGGGAATTTTCCCCATTTTTTCCTGATTTTTTTCCCTCTTTTGGGGTTTTTTTTGATGATTTTTTGGTGATTTTTGGTGATTTTTCAACGATTTTTTGGGGTTCCGCGTGGTTTAAGTGAGGCTGTTTTACACCCAGATCCTAAAAATTCAGAATTCCCAAAAAATTTGGGATCCATTTTGGATTTTTGGGACTTTTTCCCAAATTTTACCAACTTTTTTTTACAGTTTTCGGTGATTTTTGACCACTTTTTGTTCTTTTTAATCCTTTTTTTAAATGTTTTTTTTGGGATTAAGTGAAACCTTTCCACCCCCGGATCCTAAAAATGTAGAATTCCCAAAAATTTCAGAATTATTTTGAATTTTTGGGAATTTTCCCCAAATTTTTGGGCGATTTTGACAAATTTTTTATATTTTTAGTCATTTTTAAAACGATTTTTAATGATTTTTTGATTTTTTTTTTTGGGGGGGGAGTAAGCGAAGCCTTCTCACCCCCAGATCCCAAAAATTCAGAATTCCCAAAGATTTGGGAATTGTAAAAGTTTTTTGGTGATTTTTTTATTTTCCTGCCATTTTTGGGATTTTTGGAGGAAATTTGAAGAAATTCGGGGACAATTTGATCAACTTTGGGTGGATTTTTTTTGGAAAATTTGGGATTTGGGGAAAAAATTTTGGTAAATCTGATGGAATTTGGGGGGATTTTGGAGAATTTGGTAGAACTTAAAAGAGGATTTGGGCAGATTTTGGGAAATTTTGGGGGTTTTAAAGAAATTTTGGGGGACTTTGGCAAATCGAAAGAATTTGGGGGGATTTAATGAAATTTTGCTGGGAATTTGGGGAAAATGTAAGAAAATTTTGGGTGGATTTCAGAGAATGTTGTGGAAATTTCCTGGAATTTTGGGTGGGTTTCAGAGAATTTGAGGAATTTTGGTTGGATTTCTGGAAATTTGGGGAATTTTGGGGGATTTTTGGGGTCTCACCTGGGAGTTGGGCTGGAAGGTGGGGTGGGGGCTCGAGTGCTTCTGGAGGTTCTCCAACATCAGCGCCTGAATTTGGGCAGATTTCGGCAAATTTAAAACTCCCTGAAATTTAATTTCTCAATAATTCATTTTTTTGGTCGCCATCCCGCCCCAAAATCCCCAGAATTTCCCCCGAAATCCCCACAAAACCCCCATAATTCACCCAAGACGAACCAAATTCTGAATTTCTGACACAGATTTCCTCAAAAACGCTGAATTTCAACTCAAAGTCCTTCACAAAATAACAAAATACTGGATTTTTGCCCCCAATCCCCTCAGAAAGCCACAAAAAATGTGATTTTTTGCCTCAAATCCTCCCAAACCATCAACAAAATAGTGATTTTTGTATAAAAACACCCCAAAATGTGCAGGTTTTACCTCAAATTCCCTCACAAACGTGAAAAATTTTGCCTCAAATCCTCCAAGAATGCACAAAACAATACAAATTTTACCTCAAATCCACTGCAAATTTAACAAAAATTTCACTTTTTATCTCAAAGCACCTCAGGCCCTTCTCAAAGTCCCCAAACCATCAAATTTTACCTCAAATTCTCTCCCAAAGTCACCAAAAATATTTTTTTTTATCTAAATCACCTCAAAACAATGATTTTATCTCCAATCACCCCATAAAATCTGCTCAAAATGATAAAAAGCTGAGTTTTGCCCCAAATTCCTCCTCAAAACTGCCACATTTACCCCAAATTTGCCAAAAATGGGGTTTAAAACTTAAATCTCCCTCAATTTCCCCTCAAACTCATCAAAACCGGGATTTTTATCTCAAAATTCCTCAAAAAACCCCCAAAATTGGGGTTTAAAAATTAAATTGCCTCGGATTTTTACTCGAATTCATCAAAACCACAACTTTTATCCCAAATCCCCTATGATTTTTCACCAAACTCATCGAAACTGAGATTTTTACCCCAAATCCCCTCACAAAAACCTCAAAAACGTAACTTTAAACCCAAATTCCCTCAGAATTTTCACCAAACTCATCAAAATCCTGATTTTTACCCAAAATCCCCTCACAAAAACCTCAAAAACTGAGTTTTAAACCCAAATCCCCTCTGACTTTTACTTAAACTCATCAAAACCGGGATTTTTACCCCAAATTTTCCTCTAACTCATTAAAACTGGGATTTTCACCCCAAATCCCCTCACAAAAACCTCAAAAACTGAGTTTTAAACCCAAATCCCCTCACAAAAACCTCAAAATCTGAGTTT